CCGAAACAACAACCAACTAACAAGGGAAATAATTGCAGCGAAGTATGTTGCCAGGTTTGACGATGGACGCGTGAGCTTCCCGCCTCTCACCTTATCTGCAAAATAATTAGCTTGCCTCACCTTCAGAATAAAATTGCGGACTATTTTACAAATTTGTTCTAAAAATCGGATAAGAAACCGTGGACAAAACATTTAGAGCTTTTGTTCTAAGAATACGTAAAAGAAAACGAAGACAAAATACAAAACGTTGTTAGTTCAGCGCTGCACGTGTGTGTATGTTTTTGTGTCTATAATCGATAGAGTGCCTGTTTGCGAGATGTTTATGCGATCTGAAGTCGTAAGATAAAAAACCAACTACCCCAAGCTGCTGTGTTGACAACAACTAAAATTTTAGCTTGCTGTATGAACATCATGAACAAGGAAGAGGCTTGGCTCTTTTTACTTGTTCCTTCCGGTTTGTTCCAACACTTCAAACAACTCGTCGTTATTGACATTGAAGTTGCCCTTAACAATTCTCTTGTAAGCATAACAGAGAGGATCATTGAGTTCATGCAAAGCAAGAATCTAATAAAAAAATGCTGCGAATAGTGCTGCAACAGCGTAAGGGCCATCTCTCCGAAAGTCATCAAGCAGACATCGTGTGGCTAATTGTACTGCCTGTGACATACTTTGATAAAAAAAATCTTTCTTCTACTTCCGCAGAATGAGGTATAACTGTCTTAAGTTAGCGTCTGGGATTACCAATGCTCATTGTACTCCAAACTTTTATAGGAAGACCACTGAGTAACTGACAGGAATCAAGATTAACCGCCCATGACTACCATGCATTGTACCGTGTGGGTCAAAGTGATCGATGGCCGTTTGAATGGACGGCACAAATTGGGTTCTTACCGTATTGCGCTACAATATACAACAGAATTGCCTAAAATTGTTAAAAGGGTTTACTAAAATTGTGAAAGGATTACGTCACCTGTGTAAATCAAGAAAAACCAAAATTATGTTTTCTCTAAACATTGCATGTATACTCAAAAAATATTATGTGTTACTGTGGCGCTTATATTGCCCAAATAAAGTGAAGAATAAGTAAGCCAGTTCTATTTGCATTCCAGTTTACAAAATGTTCAATCTTACCAGGCGCTAGAATATTCCACAACGAGTTTCTGATGATTTTGAGATAAAAAGCTTAGCGATAATTTTTCCATAGACAAAAACAAGTTCTGATTCTTTTTCTTTTGACTCCGGCATTTTCATGTATTCCTAGTCTCTATTAATGAATGCACCAGCTTCGAGCATCTCTTTATTATATACCTGCTCGGCAAGTTAAGTAACCGGTTTATGCGGTCCTTTCAAACCGCCATCGATCCACTAGACCCACACGGTAGTTCATGATGAGTATCTGTTACTTTCCAAAACCTCAAGTTGTCATTATCACCTTCTTATTTTATATTACTTTAATAGTTTTGTAAGGTACAACATCTTATTGGAAAGTGAACATATTCGGCAGAAATCTGCGTGTCTGGGTGAGAGTGAAAGTCCAAACCGAGTTGGTTTCGAAACGTTGGGTTTCCTTTCAAATATTGGTGGGAGCAACATTTTCGGACTTTTACAGCATGTTATACCTTCATTTGCGTCCTATGTTTGTTCTTAATTTTGTAGCGGAAACCGTCTACTCAGCCAACAGTACTCGATCTCAAGTGATGGAATAACTGTGATGGACGAAATTCACATGTTCGACCAAGCACTGGCTGTACTATTTCGCGTATACTACCTTTCCAACATTGCATACCCAGAGGAGCTTTACACTAGGTTGGAGTTTATTTAAAGGAATTGAACTCATTTGTGCTTTCTGGCATCATTTGGTTTGCATATTTGTTCCTTTGTTTACTGCATCCGACGACCATAAATGTCAGCAATGCAGGGCTGCCTACACAGGAAGTCAGAATTTCCCTTGCGGAAGCCTGAAATTTTCCTACTTCTGCCGAAATTTTCCTGGCTTGCCGAAATAATTATATAAAACTAAATATTCATTGTTCTCTGCGTCACTTGAATTTTTGCGATGAGAGATATATTATGTAACCTTTACGCCTCGCTTACGTTTCGCAAAAATTAGTTTATCAGGCCAAAAAGGTGGTCAAAGGAAATCTGGCGAGGGGAAATGTTACTGGGAGATTCAAACTGACGAATGACACCCCATCTTGGACTTAAATGTTATGCGCGTCATCAAAACATGGTACTGCTTTATTAACTTTTTTGGTGATTTTTTATAATAGTCAGTCCAAAACAAAAGGTGTAACACAAGCTAGAGTTCTCAAAATTGAACACATGGAACTTGACAAATGGTAGGCAGCGTTGTGTGTACAACACTTCAAGAAATATTATTCGCCACGGTAAGTTTGTATCTTGCATGGTGTCTGTACCTCCTGATATCGCAGTATTTCTTTTTGCACTCAAGCTTTCTTTTCCGAGAAGGCACAACGGCGCTATCAGAAACTTCGAGTTGACTAATCCCTCCATTGTTTTCACGGCGGCGATGAAAACTGAGTTTGCCGAAAAAAGTTCTCCGAGTGCTCCTCAGTGCTTACTGCCAAATGGTCGCACAACAAACCGCCAAACGGATGGAGGCAGTAATCCAAGTGTAGCTAAAGCTACTCAAATTCGATGTTATCTCGGAAAAAAAATCATAATTTTCCATTAAATTTTCAGCTCTATACGGTGCCTAAAATTTCCCTCAAACGAGCAAGATTTCCCTTTTTCCAATATTGACCTGAATATTACCTTAATCTGGGAAATATCTCTCGGGTTGGCAGCCCTGCAGCAGACTCCAGATGTGAGGTCTTTGTTTTAGAATCTGCATTGCTTGCTTGAAAAATTGTGCAGCGAGATTTCCTGGCAATGCTAGCGGCATGCTAAGGTTAGATGGTGTAGAGTACAAGCCAAATCTGATTGTTTTATTTCGTGTTTCCTGTCCTTCGCTTACTTAGAGGAGCTGTGCAACAATTTCAGTGCTTTGCTTAAATACTTTGAGAGTTGGTGTCTGGACCCTTCTGAAGTAAAGAACAAAAAACGGCTTTGCCTGCATGTCTTAGTTTTTATTTTAAAAATTGACAAAGATTGAAGCTTTCGGCACCCTCTCAACTCCTTCAACTTTTTCCGAGTGACGTGCGCTGTGACGCGATTGGGGGACCCGCGGGGTTCCGGTGAAGCTCTCTTTCTATACCTCGTTTTAACTTCCGTCCGAGCGCAGCCAAAGGCTGAGGGACGGTTCGCAACTTTGAGAAGAGCATTCCTACGCACCACAAAGTAGTCCGCAAAAGAAGTTTTTTTTTATATAACTGCTTCGTGCGTAAACATTACACAATATTTCAGATGTGTGCTACTGAGAATGATTTGAAACTAAAGGAATGAAATATCGGAAGTTTATGTTTTCATTAAAATATGTAAATGGGTGTGGTTTGGTGAAAACACGTACACCTGTTGGCAACACGGCTGCAGCGCTCGGTTTTCCTGCGTGACTTTTTTCCCGTAATGGCCGAATCATGTGCTTCGCTGCTTTGCTCACCGAGTCCTTTTAAAATGTCTTTTCGCAAAGGCACGTTTGGACGTCAGGCGCAAGAGGCCGTGATGAATGTCTATTTTCAGATTTGGCAGGAGACTCCGCCCGCGTCGTACAGCGAAGTTGTTACCCGAAGCAGTGTTGTAGGCCTTACCGAAAAAAAGTAACGAAACACGTTACCCGTCATTTGAGCGTGAAATAACACGTTACCGTCCTACATTACTTGAAAACAAAAGGAACGCGTTACCGTTACCGTAACTGATAAAAAAGTAACGTATGCTATTTTTGCGTAACTTTTTTATGATGAATTAACAATCTTCACTGTTTTGACGTTACGGGTATATGCATACGCGCCATATTTTAAGAAATATTATGTCCATGCAGACACTGAACATAGTTACTTTATTTTTCTTACGGTTTCACCTATATGCTCACAAAAACGCAAAAAAAACGCAAAAACTCAAAAACTTCACATAACTTGGCACCTAGAAACACACACAAAAAAATTGTCTGTTTTTTTAAGTCTTGGGAAGAAGAATTAACTTAACTCCGTCACCCGTTACTCGAAATATGTAACGTGAATGCGTTAGCCGTTCCTGTTCTGAAAAGTATGTACACGTTGCCGAAAAAGAATGTAACGCGTTACTTGTAACGCTCTTATTTGTAACGGCGCTACAGTGCCGTACAAATTACGTTGCACTGCAAATTTGATTTACGGTTAATTTTAACACCTATTGACTGTAGATTTCTACGGTCACCGTTTAAACTTAAAATAAACGAGATTTACAGGTCACCATTATTTTTTATGACGCAATAGTGACAGCATCAGCTGCTGGTTTTTGACCGTGAACTTTACGGTCCATTTATTACAGTCATAGTGCATGGTATTTCGAACAAGATTTGCTTTACTGGACGACACAGATGCAGCTGTCTGTTATTTGTTTGAGAGCTTGCACCGCGCCTGAAATGACGCCTACCTTTAGGGAAATCTGAAGAATAGCCAATTGGAGGTCAAGCTCATTGCCGGACCCGTCGTCCCGCTTGTCAAAATACTCTTGGTCGTCACCGCCACTGGGCATTACAAAGATGAGCGAGCCTTTATTGATAACCAATACCGGACAGCGGGAACTTTCGGTATGGTGCATGCCAGGCAATACCCGGTGACTCCATTTTGACCGTGAAAATCATAAACCTCATCGGCACTAATCACAAGGCTTCATTAGAATCGTCGGTTCGCAGGTTGTAAAACACGCGTTGTATTGCTTCCATAAAGCCTCCTATCTTGTCGCTGCAATTAGTGGTGATACATCGTAATAATTTACATTGCTTATTTGTGTCTATATTTAATATAAAGCGCAACCTATGTTGTGATGTGCAGAAACTACATGTAATAAAAAAAAAAATTAACGTGGGGTAGACCGTAGATGTTGAAATTGTGAAGGCCGCACTACTTACTTTTTTCGTCTGTTCCCAAAACGACAGCCACGTCACAGGTTCCGTAATCCGAATAAACGAACTGAACTCTAGTGGTCGCTGCCGTCGAACAAACATAGTAGACATATATTAGGAACGGCAATCGCCGCAGTCCCTGATAGCTTAAGAAAGACAGGGTGTGGCTTATTATGTTCAAGCTTCTCGCTTCCTCAACGTTCTTGTCTTCTAATGTCCCGATCTGATTGGCTCAGGACCAATAATGAGTAGATACCTGGGTCGTGCCGCACCCTGCGTTTCTTAAAGCTTTCACATTTTATAGGCAAATAGTTGAAAGAAACATTACGTTAAACTTTCTTTTTAAAGCCGCAATTTTCAAATTCAAATTCAAATTCTTTATTAATTCCTGAATCAAAGAAAGGAGGCAGAGAAAAAGCAACTAGCAGGGAAGAACAAACATAAACGTAAAAACGCTAGCATTTGACATATTCATTATAGCACGGGAAAGACATCATCTATATTGCTAAAAAGAAGAATGTAAACAAAAAGGAGAGAAAAAAGAAACGAAAAAGTATGTCAGATATAACAGCACGCGCAAAACGCATACATCCGGATGATACTAAACTAACTTTTTTTTTTTTTTACAGGGGAGTAACCATTAGACAAAAAAGTGAACGTATTTGTTTGGCGGACACACTGAAGATATCTATATCGAGTTCATAAAAACGATTCAGAAGATGGGGGAGTATGCATTTTAACATCCGATTCCAATAGTTCGTTCTTGAATGTGGCACTATCCATACCTCAGCATTACGCGTTGGATAATTCGCTTTTCTAAGTTCAAATTCGGAAATTGATAGATACATATTTTCGTTCTGTCTAAAAGACCTTTTGTGGGAAAGTGCTAGTTTATAACTATAGTGATTTGGAATTAGTACTATATTAAATTTATGAAATATTGGCTTTGTTTGATCTCATGGGCTTCTAAATATCCTCTTGGATGCTATCGAAAAGTTTCACTCGTAAATAAAATAATTTTTTCAGCAAAAAAAATATTCCGACAAGCTGGCATCATCTAAAGGCCCGTATAAACAGGACACTACAAAAAGCGTAAGGCAACCCGACTCCTTGAAACTTCAGCAAAAATGAAGCGGGCGCTTCAATTTGGCCGCTTTCTTGAAGCTTTCTTGAAGGAGTCGTGTCGCCTGACAATTTTCGTGGCCAATTCAACATCACGACTTTTCTCCTCGCCTCCTCTACTTTTCTTTGGCGTCGGTTCTCGTCACATTTGACTTCACACGCCACCTGCCACTGGTGTTCTCTCGCGGCTCGCTGACCTCGCTGCCGCCGTCGTCTCGGCTGGAAGCCAAAGAGGTCCGCTTCGGGTGGATTTGGGAGATTCCTGCGTCGAAGCACGCATTTCCTTCTCGCATTAAAAAGGAACGACACCTTCGCGTCGTTCCCTTTCCCGTTTTCAGGACTTGAAAAACGGCGGGGGCCTTGGGCGATTGACCGACAGCTAAAAGAGCGTGTGAGTTGCTCTCCGGACCCACGTGATGAGCAGATAAAGGGCGCCATAAAGGGCGCCGAAAAGGGCACGGGCGAGATTTAAATAAAAAACTCCCCCTCCCCCTCCCCCCCCCCCCCCCGCCCCCGCAAAAAACAAAAAAAAAAAAAGGCCGGAAGCGGGTTGTTGAGCGGTTTGTCGGAGTCGTGTTGCCTGACGACGTTTGCAGTGTCCTGCTTGGACAGGTCTTATGGTGCAGCTTTTTGACTTTCGAAGGCGTTTATCTTGATTTCACTTTTAATGCGAAATCATTAACTGGTCCCATGGAGCGAAGCCGGCGCTGTCTGCGACCGCGGAAAACGGCATATGAATTTCGTCTGTAACAGCAAAAAACGGCAGCTAAATTCCGTCTGCAGCAGCGAAAAACGTCGGTTAAATACATACTGGCTGCGACGCGTTATAGTTCTAATGTGACACATGCAGCATACCACCCGCGTCACGCGGCTAGAAATATAAAGTGCAGGAATTATACCACATTTAATAAAAAATAAATGTAAATGTGCGGTATGTGCCCACAGAAACCCTCTTCCTAGTTTTGCGGCCCACGCGCCGGTAAAAGGGAAAGGGTGGCGCGCGCTTGGCTGCCGCTATTTCCTCCCTCTCGGGTCACGTGTCAGGCGTGGCGGGAAAGGGGGGGGGGAGGAGAGTAGAAGGGGAGCGGGAAATTTCCCCTATTTACCCCTGCGCACAACTCTGTCACGTGCTCTACGTTCTGCATTCAGCCATGTCGCGCTCCCCGGCCGGCCTGTGCGGAGGTCAGTGGGGCGCACTGGTTGTAGGAATGCGCTGCATGCACTAATGCTTTCGCATTCCCACACGTAGACAATATTAAGTGTCCTCCTGTAATATTTTGCCATCCAATCTCGGTTCGGGAAAACAATAACATTTCATAAGGACTTGATGTGTGTGGAGCCAGTTTTTGAAGTTTCTGTACTCAAATTTTGTAATGAACACGGCTGTAAGATTACTTTCAATATTTTCATTGTTTTAGTTATGGAAAGTTGCAGTTGATTAAACCTAAGGCACGCAAAAATTGTAAACTTTTTCACATTGACTTTTATTTTCTTTTAAAAGTCCTATAATTTCTGCAATTTATACTAACACTCTAAAAAATCCCCATGCGTCTGCTTTCCCGCACAACACTCGGAGAGCCAATCAGTGCAACTTATGGAGGCAGCTCAGCGAATAGCGATGGCGAAACATCTGTTTAGACCAAAAAACGCAGTCTGAGTTGTGACATTAAGCAATGCAAGCGCGACGTTTTGTATTGCTTAATGTCACAACTCAGACTGCGTTTTTCGGTCTAAACATATGTTTCGGCACCATCATTCGCCGAGCTCCCTCTGTAAGTTGCGGTGATTGGCTCCCCGAGTGTTGCGCGGGAAAGCAAACGCACAGGCTTTTTTTAGAGTGCAGAGCCGCGTGACAGGCGTGTTATGCAGTATGTTTCACCGAAGGAAGAGGTCATCATTATTACCTTTTCTCGTTGGGTTCTACTCAGGGGACACTGTGTTAGTTTATGTACTTTTAGGTAACTCCTTGACCGATGAAGTTATAAACTTAAAATTTTACATGTCATTTTCTTTGTCAGGTATGAATCTGCCCCGCAACTTTCACATAAGACTAGAGGCACATCCCCACATTTGCTTTCGAGCGCGGTGCGTTTAGAAGCGGCAAGCTGAAGCGTACCGTTGCTAAGAGAGCTTGTGCCAAGCTTGTACACAAAGTTGCGTTGACACACAGTCGACTGCAGTCAAGAGCCAATAAGAATGCGGTACTGTCGGTAACGGCTGAACAGTAACGAAGTTCAAGGTAACATGGCGGTGTCCGACAGCAGCGTCGAAGTGGTCGATCTTCAGACAATCTCGCTGGCTCCCACGGCATTCTGCCCGGCTTGAACCATGACAGCCTCTGAAAAACTTTGCTCGAGGCGTTCCTTGCAGCTCCCCGAACGAAGAAGTCGCTTGCGTGAACGGAGAACCGGATTCGCATCGTCGAGTGGTGCGAGCGAACACGTGACCCTCCTCTCCTTTCTTTGACTTCTGACTGGTCTATCGCAACACGCTCCCGCTACTGCCGCGTTCAAGGGAGTTTTCGTTAACCGCGTTTCCCCCTCCCCTTAGCCCTCCGCAACGAAGAAGCCGCTACTGCGCCTGCGCGTCGACGGCCTTCACTGTGTACAGTGAAGGCCGTCGACGCGGGTATCGTAGGCGGTTGCGGAGCGCGTTGCGGGACGGCGAAAACGATCTACGAAAACTCCCTGATGACCCGGTCTCTACTCCCTTGCGGCGCGTTGTGAGGCACTGCGTGACGTCGCGCATCGGTCCGTAAGCAACCGCTTCAAGCTGTAAGGACGCCACTCTCCACTCAAACGCGCTCAAACGCGAATGTGTCCTCGGCTGGTTCAGCCACTTTCGACTGCTTAAAGACCGTGCCTTCAAACAATCTCTTACGGCGAGAGTAGGGTGCCCTGATGCCAGCGCCCTCCCTGCGAATAGTGAGGACAATATGCGTCGTCTGCTCCGGCAGCCGACATTACGGTACACACTACGAACGGCGGTATGCACAGCGCAAGTCCATTAAAAAAAAAGAAAAAAAAAAACGCACTTGTTTACAAGCTTGTCTTCTGGGACTCTAAAACAAATTAGTGCTGTTTCTGTTGAAATCTTTATGACATCAGCGAACAAAGGTCAGAAAACCGTGCAGAAACGTACGCACAGGGTCGCTTGTGTAAAAAAAATAAAAAAAAATACAGGAAACGTGTAATTTTTATCACTCGCTAGTTCGCGCTCAAACCTGATCTCCGATTGCACCTCGTCGGCTTTTAGTTCAATGTTATGTGGACGATACTTTGGGATGCATTATAACCTACGAAAATTAAGCTAGCTCGATCGTTCTGTCGTAGATTGGGGATCAGCAATGGTTTGACCTTGGCGAACCCATTAAGCGTGTGGTGTCCTCGTGCCGCCTGTGTGGGGTGGAGTAGGCCTATGTGTGCGGCAGGGGCGCAACCATATAAAGTATGCGTGTGTTGCGTTCGACTCGTTCAATGCTCTCTGGTCTTTGTCAGCATTATCAAACTCTTGCTTGAATTTATTCCCAAAAGCTGGTGTGAGAATGTAAAGATATGTGTAATCGAACATATGCGGATGGAGATCACGTACGATAATGAAAAGTGCCCCTGATGGGTACATTTATATATATACATGCTAAAACAAAAATGCTTATGCTGGAAAATTTTAATGGGGATTGAATTGCGGTGTGTCCACATTATTAGAAAAAAATAGAATAAACCTGCCGTGCGTCCCAGGCTTGATCCCTGACGAGAGGAGTATCGTAGTTGTTTTTCTTTTGTGGTAATTATTCCGAGATTAAGCTAAGTGTGGATATTATTACTATTGATTAAGCCTAACTAATTATTTCCATTTCTTTGATTATTCTGAACAAGGACTCGTATGGAGTATACATGCATGTATGCGCTGAACTTTTGAATAAAGGAGGAACGTTTCAATTGCACGTGAGGTGTTCCCGTGGAAATATACGTATAAGCACACTTATGCGATGACCCGGGTCGATTGTCAATCCACTTCTTTCCCTAGACAAGCAGAAATAGTTCTTGGAGCTTGTGATCAAATGTTTTCGTGGTGGATATTCCGGGATGTATGGATACGATTGACAGGCGAAAAATAACGTATTTACAGGATGTGTTGGTCACGTAGGACGCGAGTAGAGTGCTGCAGTCGGTTGCTTTAATCTCGTGATAGAACGAATTCTCGTTCATAGCAATGCGAGTGCAATGGACCTTTTCCGAGAAGCGTTCTACGCACGCGCGACGCCCGATGCCAAGCGGCGGAAATCGGTACGAAAAATCGAGGGAATTCGGAACTAGGCTGTCGTTCAGCGAGTAGAACACGTAATTGGAGCATATATATAATTGTGTTACACAAAAAAAGAAGGTGGACGGAAAGAAAAACACGTCGTTTGCGTCCTGTTTTTCTTTCCCCTTTTTAAAGTCGCGTTGGGCACGCGCCGCAGCTCAGAGAGCGAAGAAACTGGTAGCGTAGCTCCCATTATCATTTGGTAGCGCAGGTAGGTCACTTCCTCGATTTTTAGTTCGTGCAGTCACCGTCTGGTGCCGTCGGGATGTGGAAAAGGTCCATTGAGTCTTCATTTGAAGTATGCGTTGCAACATTCAAGTTTTTACTGGAAGGTGAATAAGAACCTTACGTGCTATTATTGAAAGTAGGTTGTTTGTGCTTATGTTTTCTTATTACCAGTTATGGGCACGTTACTGCTGAAATCTAATAGTGTTACAGTTACAGTTACTTGAAGGAAAAAAGTAACCCTGCAACAGGTAGTTGAAAAACTTGAAAGATCAACTTGGTACAGTTACATTTATTTCGCTAAAGTAACGCCGTTATTTCGTCGTTACTTGACAAAAAAATATTAGAAAACATTCAAAATTAACCTGTCTTAATATGCCTTTAAATTAGTTTTTATGCTCCTCAAAACATATTGTTGTTCACAACATGAACTTTGATTTTGAAGAAACTAATATTTTTCTCAATAATCAATAGTAACATATTTGGTTCTTCCTATTTAAATTTTTACCATGAATAGCTCCCTGATCAAAATCTTAACTTCAGAAAATATTCGGGTAAATTTACAATATGAAAAAGGATTTATTGTATCGTCTTTGGCTAAATTACAGGGGACCTTAGTTTTTTTAGATATTAAGTTAGCAGATATTTTCTGATGACCCATGACGAACTTTAAAATAAGCTCGATAACTATAACGTATAGACGAATAAAAAAAACTCGCGTCTAGGTCTTAGGCATATCCAATCATGGTGTGGGTTTACAATCGGTCAATTCTAATTTAGGATTTCATTGGTGAGAAGAACTGGGATAGAAGCAATAAAAATGAGTGCAAATGTGAAGTCATCAATAATATAAGTTGAACCTTGTAATCGGCTTTGTAAGTGTCTGCTTAAGCCACACGAATTCACTCGTTGGTCGAATCGTTTTCTACTGCGTGCGCAAAGTTCTTCCTGAAACCAGAGGCATATCTTAAATAATTGGAGGGCAATGTTGCGACAACAATCCTCTGTCAAACCCGTTGAACACGGCAGCGGTGCAAAAGAAGATCTAATCCAGGTACAAATGACCAGTGCGCATGGAATTCTAAACGGCTGTTGCGATCGTTTCTCCGCCAGTTCCTAAGCAGATGGGACACGTTTGCCTACCTCCATCTCACCAGCCCAACTAGAAGACACCACCCGGAATGCCCACGACGTGAATGTCTATAAATCCATTGATTCCAATTGTCCCTAATCCCAACTAAGGGCGGTCTTTCAAGTTCAAGGAAGCACACAAATAAGCAGAACGTTACACACGTTTCGGGGGAATACTCTTTGTCAAGCGAGGGGACGAAGGAACCAGAGCAATGGGCACAGCAAGTGGGTGACGGCAGGCAAGGCCGGTAATTGGGTTGCAGAATGAGGGAATGGAGATCAAATGGGCCTAAAGTCGAAATTCCTCAAGAGTGCACTGGGACTTGGACGATTCAAAATATAGGGGAAGGAAACAGATGCTTGGTGGCAAAACGACAAGGTTCGAAAAATCGGTTGTGCCGTAAGCGTGCGGGCGTTTGAGGCGACAATCACCAAAGACTGTCCTTCGCGAAGAAAAGAGAAGCGCTTTAAAGATGCCGCGCTTTGTTTCATCTGCGTGCGCTGTAGGCCATGTACCATACACATGGGGTACGTACACAAACGTCCACATCCTTCAGTTGGCGTGGCCACCTTGGCCAAGCATCGTCACCCCAAATATAGTTCATTTTCATTTTTAGTTTTTTCCTCGTGGTACAGATAACTTCTGCAGCAGTTTTTCCTAAAAACGAAACTAGTTACCGGTAGCGCGTTACTAGTGACTAGTTACTGCTCAATACTGATTTATACTAATGTTAAAAATGCGAAAGCATTAACTGTCCCATGGAGCGAAGCAGGCGTTATCTGATGTTTGTAGCAGCGAAAAACGGCACCTGAATGAGCGAAACGGCACCAAAATACCCATTGGCAGACAGGAACGGTACCTGAATTCCCATTTTGACTGAGCGAAACAGCACGTGAATTCCCATTCGCTGGGCGAAACGGAACATAAATTCCCGTTGGCTGGGCGAAACTGCTCGTAAATTCATATTGGCGGGAAACCGGAAGCGCCTAAGAAAAAACAAAACACAAAGAAAAGCACTGCAACGCACATGCCTCGTCACGGAACCCGTGGAACCGGAGGGGGTTGCCGCGCCTGTGCAGTGGGGGGAGCGTATGTCGCCGCCGGGGAGAGCCGTGTGAAGGAAGACGTGGCGCGTTGCTTGGAGGAATACGCTGCGTGTATGAATGCTTGCGCATTCCTACACGTTCATACTACAATCCTAGCTGTATTAAGGCAATAGTTACATTGAATCAAGCATAAATTATATTTTGTTCTTACGTAGCTTGAGCTTATTGAGAGATGTGGATTAGTTGATTGCAAATATTAAGTAAGTTTAGTAACCCTGCCAAACGGAAAATATAATATATCTTTATTAAATGATAATATAGGATTGAATCACCTCGCGATCCTGAGTGAAGATACGAAAATCGCAAGCTGATTTGCCAGGCCTATAAAGTTACTCAATGAAAATTATATTATTATTGCAATGTAACCTGGGTATAATATTAGAATTCAGTGCCCGCATGCGTTTACATCGCTTCCATGATTTTAAGTGACACCTGTCTAGCCGTGTTCGCCGTGACTACCTCTATATACTTTTTCTCTGTGATCTGTTTTGCTATGTCCAATCACTGCGGTTCTCGCCATTTTGTCAAAAAATTTTTGCATAAAATACGCATTCCCACAGCAATATTTACGTGAGTCAATGTTATCGACTTAATAAAATAACATTTTTCTGTCGACGTATTATACGCATACTTCGTGCTATTCCTTACCGATTATTACGGGGTGTAATATTTTTCCCATTTAATAAAGTGTTTTCTAGACCAGTTTCTCTGTGCATTTTTTGTTTTAGCTTATAAGACACGCTTGTATTGTTACGACGGTCGATCCACGCACGTTGCCTTCGCTTCGGCGCTTCGACGCGCGCCCTCGATGGCCTTCCTTTGCGACGTCACGAAAAGAGCGCTACGGCCTTAGCTTCTATGGGATGTTGGTCGGCGCTGAGGCCCGGTGTACCGGCGACTCGTGCCACTTGACAGCTCATGCAACCGCCGACCGGTCGGTTTTTAGTTTTGTTTTCGGAACAAAAGAATAATATAGAAATGAAGGTAGAAATAAATTACATTATATTTTCGTGATGCGCCAAAGACGTTTTATAGAAATTACTGTTTTATCTTATTATTGTTATTATTGTTATGGTGAAATTACTGTTACTACTGCTAATGTGAACGCCGCGAAACTCGGACTTCGACCGAGGGTCGGTAAAGCCCCGACTCCTAATGCCCCTTCAGGGGCATTAGGGGTTGGCAGGAGAGCGCGCATCGAGGAACCCTGGTGCCGTATTTCCGGTAGCTGTGGAACATTTGCGGTTTTCGGTATGTTTTCTTTTCTTTTTCGCACATCATTCTTTCTGCCTTGGATTGAAAAACTTTTGACAATGTTATAAAATATAATTTCTGATACACAGAACGTACATTTGATGTTGCAGATGCCGCGAAACCTTCGATCGAGTGAACTTCAGTTCCTAGGATTACCTCATAGATGGAGCCATCGTGCCAGTGTGTTCTCTCGTCGTAAAATATTACAAAAACTCGGTCCTAAGCAGACGCATGTGTGTGAACGGGACCTTACACGCAACGTAAAACCGCAATAGACACTGTGCTGTGTAAATCGACACTCCCAGAAAAAAGAAAAAGGTATATTCTTACACCCCTTGTCAGATATACGACACCCCGAAACTTCAGTTCGACGTAGAGCGCGCTGACGTCGAGCCGTCGTTCCCAACTTTCACAGGCGGCTTGATAGCCGAGTGGTACAACCTATTGAAATACCTAATGTGCGTGTTATTGACTGCAAAAAATGTCATCGCGGTTTTCTTGGAATTACTGCAAAACCTCAGTGTTTCTTTTCTGTAGTCTTCGATACGCACTTTAGCTGTTTAATGAAATATATCTCACCGTTCTGAAGCACCTCGTAAAATTTGAGGCCGTCTGTTCGAAGTCAGCACTCTGTGCGTCGAAATGAAGTTTTGGGGTGTCGTATATAGGACAAGGGGTTTAAGAATATACCGTTTTCTTTTCTGAGAGTGTAAGGTATGATATCCAGATTTTAAATAAAGTAAGAAATTCCGGCTTACATGTGTCACCTCCCTCTGTATTGCTCATTTCGATGGTGTCGCCGCCTGAAGAAGTCACCTTGATACGCACATTCTTTTCTGTCCTAAATTATAAAGTCAGTTCCTTGTAATCAGGCGAAGCAAAGAAGGGTAGCCAAGGGCAAGTGTATACTTACAATTCGGACGTCTCAGGGTTCTTGTACGTCATTCTGCTCTTCGTAGTCTTGGTTGCGTCGTCTTTCTCGGACAATTGTATGGTGACACATTCCCCGGTGCCCCCGAGGCCTTCATCATTTTTATAGGAACGGTAGATGAGGTAAAATTTGTTTTGCAGAGTCACCGTCTGCAAAAGAAAGATATTGAAAACAATCACTGTCTTAAGCTGCCCCCCTGTGCGGTACTTGTACTTCCTCCATCACCCTAAACATTCTGCAGCGTCTGCTCTTCCGCAGAGCACTTAGGAGAGCCATCGCTGCAATCTATGAATGACGGAATTGATCATATGTTGAAATCTAAAAAAAGAAAACTGACTGCGCTGTTTCACTGAGCTTAATGCTTCAGCTGGCTAAATGCCACAACTCAAAACGTTATATTTTTTTTAAAGCTTAAAATGCTTTTTTTTTTGCGCTACCCGTCATTTCTAATTTGTGTCTGTTCGTCCCTCCGTCCGTCTGTGCATTTTTCGCCAAATTTAGCGGGAAAGGCGTCGTCATATGATGTTACCTCACGTCAAGTGACCTGTACTCTTTGGGGGAATCGACGTTACAACACCTATCCGTCAACTAAGTTTCCCCGCTAAATTCAGCGGGAAAATTCACCTATTATGGCCAAAACATCTGTTCAGTTTCGCCTGCTAAATTTAGCTGAGAATCGACATCACGTGACTTGTACACTAGCTACGTCAGTTTATAAATAGAGCGGGAAAATGCACGTCCTGTGACCTCGACACCAATCCAGTTTCCCCGCTAAATTTGGAGGGAAATATATAGTCGTGTGACGAACCGATTCCCTCACCAACTCCGTATACACATAATGAATAGACCAATCTCACTAAGCGTTCAGCGCATGCGTGACGCCGCCATAACTTTAGTTCACAGGAGGCAGACGGCAGTGCATTCGAGGGCTCGTGCCATCTTGTGCTCCAGACGCGCAGAGCCCTAGCGGGGTTGTCGCACGTGCAGAAAGACTAATGTTTCCTCGATGTATTGCGGAAGCGGTGGCTTAGTGAAACTGGCTGGTTATAGGACTTTAAGAATAAAAATCGCTGCCAATTAAAAAAAAAAAAAGTTTCTCCTGCCGGAACATCTAATCTTGAGCTCCAGAGACGTGGGCCAAACGCGCCCCGCCACTGGACTCGGTCGTCTGCATCGCCGTCCGCTGTTGACCATGGCAAGAGTTTGGCGCCGTATTGTTTTACGAAAAGGGAGTTGCGCCTCGTAATTTCAGAGTTTTAAACCCATCAGTGAAATACATCGTTGACGACACGTTCAGGTGGCTAACTGCAGGCGCCGATTTGTACGGCTTTGTTTAGGGTGAGCCTCCGCATTTTAGACACCCTATGCATTGCGAGTTAAAAATGCACAAACATCTCTGACTCTGACATTTTTACTTTAAATTTTTTACTTATGACCTCATAATTTTTTTTTAAGATATAGCACTCTTTTTTTTTTTCCTATATTTTTCACATGGGGGGTACCGTCTGTATATAATTTGTTGGTCTAGTAGTTTATAAAGAAACATTTACAGCGCGTCAAACATGTTCTAAGGTCAAAAGTTTCGAAACTTCAACGTGCGAATAAAAACACCATTCTTTTGAATTAAAAAAATGAAGAAAATTAGGTGAAGCATTTTAAACCACGTCGTGGTGTTTTTAAATGAAATACATGCTGCATTATTTTGTCTCCGTCTGAAATATAGCGCTTCAAAACGGACATATTTGGCAACATTGACATTTTACCCAACATTGATATTGATGTTGTACCTTTTTTAAGCTTTACTGCTCGATTTTTTCTGATATATTTTCCACAAAAGGATATATCATCTATATATGTATTGATGCTTTAGTTTATGTATTAAACTATCTATGGGCTTCAAACATGTCTCAAGGTAAAAAGTTCCGCAACTTCAACGTGCATTAAGAAAACTTTGTTTTTATGTAGGCGAAGCATTCTACACAATATCACCACGTTTGCATAAAAGAGGCATGTTGCGTTATTTTATTTCCGTCTAAAATATAGCGCTTGGAAAAGCGCAAATGTGGCTACTTTTCCATTTCGACTTCATATTTTTTTTTTTATTTCGTGGTGTTTAAATATAGAGCATTGGAATTTTTTCTACCATTATTCACATAAGTAACTATCATCCGCATATACACACAAGTTGTTGCTCTATATTATAAGCAAAAATAACAACGCTCCAAACCTATCCTAAAATAAAATGAAATGTAACTCAAATTGAACATGCAATTTAAGAAAAAAATCTTTGGTGTGTATATCCTTTTTTAGTTTATTTCTCTTCAAACTAGGGGAAGAGGGGAGGTAGAGAAAAAAAGCTGCCATTGCAGCTTGACGGGGCCTCTACCTCCCTTTACAGTACAGCGCAAAACAGGACATCTGCAAATGCACATGCAGAACCAAACAAATTCAAAATAACCACTTGTATCAGATTTACCACGATTGAAAAAACAATACTAGTTACATCAAAAAAGGACATTTTCACATTATGTTCCTCATTCAAAAACGACATCACTCTCCACCAGCAGTTCTTTAAAATTTCTCTTGAAAATCGGAAAGGAACACTGAAAGTTTACATTTTCTTCCATTTTGTTTAGCAAGGAAAAAACTTGATAATCCAGTTGTTGCTTGCCGTAATTTGTTCTTACTTTGTTTTTTTTCCAGATATTTGTTCTCAGTGCATGATCTGAGCTAACATTCTTCGGGATTAGGTATAGCTTCCCTTTTTGGATAAGCTGAAGTAATTTAAAGTAATATATTTTGTTAGCCTTTAGTATAGTGAATCTTTTAAACAGTGGATCAGTACGCAAGTCCCGCCAATTACGCTGAAAATTGTCGAGCATCCGAAGAATTCGTTTTTGAAAGACTATTATTTTATTATAGTTCGTCATAGTTGTGGTACCCCATACCAATGCACCGTATGCTATTTTTCAGTCACATAAAGAATAATGCAATTCCTTTTTTAACCATGGAGGTAGCAGTTTATGAATTCTATATACATCCTATTGATTTAGACAGTTAAGAACAAAGTTTTTGTATATATATATATATATATATATATATATATATGTGTGTGTGTGTAATATATATATATATATATATATATATATATATATATATGTATATATATATATATATATATATATATATATATATGTATATATATATATATATATACACTGTATACACACATGGAGTTTCACGAAAGGAGGACAACTTCGAAAGTGCGAAAACATCGCGTCGCAACAAAAAAAGACTTGTGTCGTTTTGATCCTGGGCCAGGGGACATTTAGGAAAATTGTTAAAGTCCGGAATAAATAAACTGTTAATTACTTTTGCGTTATTAACTTTTAAGTATTGTGTTTAAGGGTATGTTTTAATTAGAAAATTGCTCAACATCATCAAAAAACAGTAAATCAACAAATTACAGAACGATAGAAATCCCGCGAAGCATTTTACGGCTTTCTTAAAAACCGCACAAATTCGACGGGTGTTTAAGTTTGGGTTTGCAATCGGAGCGCAACTCGGCCCCGAAACCGCCGCGCCCCGTGGAGAAATAGTGAAACCAGCCTCTGTTGAGTTTTGCGAGTACACCGCAGCGCACCAGTTTGCGCTGTTCTCGCGCAACTGCGTTGCAACTGATCACCAGTGTGCCTGCTGATCAGTTGCAAGGTTGTATTGGTTTATGGCATGACCTTGAATTCAGTACACCTCAGAGGGGCACTGAAGTGGATTAATAAATCGTCCATTTATTATCATAACTCAATCTGCAAGTTCTAAGCAACCTAGAAAGCCCAAAATTATGTTCAAGAGCGGCCGATTTCTATATTAAAAGCGCAATCAAATATCATACCACGCTCCTCTTTCTACACCGTGGCGCAGGACACCAGGGAGCGCCACCAAACGGGAAGGCAGCATGGCAGAGCACGCGACAGCCAATCACGAGTGACGGCTTCCCGGCGGACTGATTTTTTGAAGGCGCGCGTGTTCTAAAATTTAGTCCGCCGGGAAGCCTTCACCCGTGATTGGGTGTCGCGTGCTCCTCCCTGTGGCCTTCCTGTTTGGTGGCGCCCCCTGGTGTTCTGCGCGACGGCGCAGAAAGGTGGGCGTCACACGATCTTTGATTGAATTTTTAACAGGAAAATTGACCGTCCTTGAATGTAGTTTCGATTTTTTAAGGATGCTTAGAACCAGAAGAATTAGTTACGACGGTAAATAGCTGTTATCCGAATCCACTTGAATGCACCTATAATACAGGTCGAAGTACTAAGGTTAAAAATGTGTATCGTTTGACACAGTTCCGTCGTTTAGAAACCTTTTTGAGCTCTTCAATTGCCGCTAAGAAGTCTGCAAAAATGTGAAGATTGCGGATGGTCGGCATCTTGGTGGCTAAGAAAGGGTAAAAGCACAGGCGAGCTGGTGAAGAACTTCCATCGTAAACCGGAGACACGGAAAAACAAAAAAACGGACACAACAACAAGAAGTCTCAAAGACTTGTTGTTGTTGTGTCCGTTTTTTTATTTTTCCGTGTCTCCGGTTTACGATGGAAGATCTTGGTGGCTGCTGCTTGTACAGTAACGTGGATGGCCTGTAGTTCCATGACAAGAGGGTCGACTTTCTCAGATGCATATCGCTGGTGCCCCTGAGTGCAAGTATGTCAAAGGAGCAGATGAGGAAGGAAAATCGGCAGCCGTGTGGGAAGATCGCTGCGTCAGTGTAAGCTTGACAGTGGTTGCCGTGCTGTGTTTCGGGGAGCCACGTTAAAAATACGCATGTAGCGCAGCAACCGCTGGTACAAACTGCTGTTCCCTTGCCTGTTCTCGTTGAGAGATGAGTTTCGTGATTGTGTTCAGCCTCGTGTGTTTTTGTAGGATTGAATCTAGAGTAATCCGGAGGCAGCGTCGTAAAAGCGCGCATTCCGTCACGATTCCTAGTTTGATATTGCGACCACTGTGCCGCAGTGAGTTGTTGGAACTGCGCCTGGTATACAATTCGCGGTTGCAAGATCGCACGAACCAGCCGTCGAGCAATGTCTGCACGGGCACCACCAGCTTTCGGCGCTATGCGCCCATTGAGATGGAGTGGTGGCAGATGTTGGCCTAATCTTTCGGAGCCCTTGGTTTTGAATATCCAGGCGCAGTATCCGGACATTCGTATTTTTAGGTATTGTTATAGTACCCAGCTTGAGTTGAAAGGGGGCCGGTGTGAATTCCTCACATCCCGCCTTGATTGCTACGCAACATTGTGGCATTTTTGCAGAGATATTTACAGCCCAGCTGAATCTGAATAGTTCAGAAGAATATCAAGGGCTTCTTGGAACAGCTTGGCTTGCCAGAGAGGTCCTTGTGTCTAGTCCATAAAGTGCCGTTGACAGCATAGATGTGACATTCGACGTCCGGAACCTGATGGAGTTGCCATGCTAGAGGTATTAGTGTAATGTTAAAAAGAACCGGAGACAAGACGGTGCCTTGGGGGACTCCCCTGTTGGATGTAAAACATCTCTCTCATTGTCCATCCAGCCTTATAGCAAAGGTTTGATTCCGAATGAAGGAGTATACAAATCGAGTAACCCGCGGAAGAAACACCAGCTCTAGGCGGACCTCAAGTGTGTCTGCTTCTTTTGCAGGGCTTGTGGTGACGTCAGGACGCCGAGCTCTGATTGGCTTTGATTGAAGAATGGTGTGTAGACCTCAAGGCAGCTTTCTTTGAGGTCTACCCACTATCCATCAATCAGAGCCTAACAGAGCTCGGCGTCTTTCTGATGGAACCGCAACTTCTGCGCAAGGAGTTCACGAATTGCAATCCGCATACGGTTCGTCATTATTATTCTGTAGTCAATATTGTCATACGCTTTGGCAATGTCTCAAGCTACAATTGTGCATACAGCTTGACCTGTATGATGTCGTCCATCAAAATCGACAGGCCCTTCTCAGTACCCAAGAACGGTGGGAAGCTGGTTTTCGCGGGCTGATATTTGCCGTAGCTTTTGAGCCACCAGGACACTCGTGTGGCTACCATCCTCTCTACAAGCTTGCAAATCGTCGGTGTAAGCGAAATCAAACCGCAAAGCTTGGAGATTGTTGGGTGTCTTTTCTGGTTTCCGGATAGAGCCGCAATATAATGCTACCTGTCAGAGGGGATGTCTCCTGTCACCCATACTTGGTTGATGGCCTCCAGGAGTGTGTCAAGGGCCGGACCTTTCAGGTTTTGTAATACCTCAGTAGAGACACCATCGTGACCGGGGGTTGTGGGTTTCTTCGTAGCTTTAATCGCCGCAATAAGTTCAGATAAGCTAAAAAAACTAGATAAGTCTGCCTGGGAGTTGGATTCAGACTCGTCAATATCGGGGTACTGTATGGGTGAAGCCTGATCATATTTGGGAAAGAATGTTCTAGCTGCGTAGGTTGCAAAACTTTCGGTACGCTTCGCAGTGCGAGACGAACACAGGCAGCTGGGTCGGGCTGTTTTCCCCGTTGCTCCTTGGAGTGACGCGTGCGTCAGAGAGCTTTGTTTTTAGTTCCGGTCCCAAGGCTATCACACCACTGAAACCACCTTTATCTGGAAAGCTGTTTCTCATGCCGACGCGCTTCGGCCGCAAGATGGTTCACACGGGATCGACTACCAGGCATAGCCGTCCGGCAACACGTGACATCTCGTACCACGTCATCACCATGTTCTTGACGGCCCGAGGTACATGTTGCCGGAAGGAGCCGGAAGTTTCAGTTTCGACTTCTGCTCATGCTTAAAATTAAATTTAAAAATACATATCCCATTTTTCGCGAAGCAAAGGCCGTAGTGTCCTTTACTAGGGCTTTTTAAGGCGAAATCACTCATTATTCTGATATCTTCGGAATTGAGCGAAGTTGCCCTTTAATTCGACCTCAGCCAACACTGTGATTCGACGAAGTGAATCAATAAGTGCTAAAAGCGCATCATCACGGCGCTGGTCGCCTTTATAAGCTTTCTGTTACCGTGTAAAACAATCACGCAAAGTGAATGCTGCTTAATACTGCGCCATTTTTATTTCGTCCGTGATTGGTTTAGCCGTTATTAGCAAACGCAGAAAGACAACGACTGCCGTGACCAAGCACTTTTGGCGCTGTATGATTGGCTCCATTGGATCGTGGCGTTTGCCGAAGTCAGACCTAATGTGAAACGGTGTATCGAGAGGAATCGGAAACCGTGTTTATTGCTGGACACTGCTGCAAGGTTCAACGCATTGCGTCTGGTTTCTTAATCGTTCTTAATCAGTAGGCCACAAGACCCTGCTGCTGCTTTCCGTAGATCAAAGTGATGCACACCGTTTAATATCGCGGTCTCTATCGAAAACGAGAAGCCCGCAAACGCACGTAGGTGTTTTTGGGGCGCCACAGAAGGGCTGAACAGTTCTCGTACTGTATGACCGAGTTCCACTATAACGACAACCATAAAGAAACAACAACTACATGTCGAAAACACATGCAGCATGCTCGAGATGTTACCTTTGGCAGGCGTTTAGTCGTTCGGTGCTCGTGAAGTAAGCACGAGTGATTGCAAGCCTGCAAAAGATGCCCTCGCCTGCATGATGCTCGTGTTTGAGCATAGCTTCCTATATTCTACAAAGCATGTCAAATCGCAAAAGAAAGTTTTTGAGGCTTGTCACTGTCGTCTCTTTCGCTTCCTCGCTCTAGTGGGACTCGGGCATGAATGACACGTTTTAGAAGAATAAACGGAGAAGAAAAGGAAAAACAAAGAGCTTGGCTCGACCGCACAGCAATTTCCAGATCCTGCACGTTTCTTAAATAGGCAGCAGAATACTGAAAGTGGGCTTCACGGAGATTTCAGCGAAATCAAGAGGCCATGAAAGAAATTTTGGGCTGGGATAAAAAACTTTAGATTGGAATCTTACAAATCGCATATCGTTCACCGGGCCAAATTAAAAAAAAAAAAAAAGGTAGAAAGTGAAACCTGCTTTTTGGTACAAAAATTCGAAGATATACCAGACTCTTTCGTACCTCATTTCCTTCGAAAACTTTCCGCCTTTTCACTGTGCTACATCAGTGGTACCCAAACCACGCCAGCCTACACTAGCTCAGGCATTGGACACGAGCACTGCGTCACTCGGACGTAGGCGCTCGGAAACAATCAATCCGTCGACGAATATTTGAATTCGCGTTCGTGCCTAATGATTGCCGTGACGGCACTTATTGTCGCTTGCGAATGACACGGTCCATGGTTTGCTCAAAAAGGAAGGTGGAAGATTGGAACTATCGTCCCAAGCACGTCACACACCACGTGATTTCTCATTTCGCTTTTCATGGCCCCTTTAAGCAGCTTTATTGTAAAATGTATGTAAAATAACGCAAATTTTAAATACTACAACTTTAAATTGTAGTAACTCTACTATAAACGGCGAAGCTACTGTAAAATCTAAAACGATATTTCAAACTTTAGGACCTTACGAAACATATACTTTCAAAAAATGCGTGGGTTTCCAAGAAAAAATGAGAATCAAGTACTCAAGTAATCCTTTTCCAGTTCTTACCCTCCAGGCGTCCACAGGTGAACCGGTTGAGGAGGTGTCCTGAGAGCCAACACTGGCGATGGCGGCCACAAGGCTAGCAAACACAAGCAGTGTAGGATACATCTTGACTTCTTCAGCACGACCAGAAAGGGATATCTAAGTTAAATAGAAAACTGTTTGTTGGTCACAAAGTTTCAATTTAAACTAGCATTCGTACAGAAAGAAAGGAGTAGTAAGAATATCGATGGCTCACCTCAGCAGATATGTTGCTTCTTCGGACCCCTGTTCAAGACTGACTCTGTGTACGAGGCAAAGCTTCTTTTAAAGGAACCGGTTGGCGATAGGTCAGTGATGATCATTCCTTTGATATTTCGCCTCTTAGATTTCACGTGATTTCTTTGTCACTGCCATTTCGCTTGATCTTTAAATCGTTACATTTCCTTTTGTCGTTTGCAGTTTTCAAGTTTCTTTTACCTCTAAAAGGCAGGACAATGAAAACGTTTTCGGTCAGTTTAACAATTGAAATACAGTATAAAAAATGGGCGTGACTTTTACAGCGATTTTTTTTTATAAATATTGACGTGTCCTTATCATCCACGAAAAAGACTTAGTTCCCGCGTCAACAAGGGGAGAGGAGGGAGCGATGATGGAGCGCAAGAAAACAAACGAATTGCCGGCGGTAAGAAAGCGTCCCGATTGGCTGCTACAGGGAGCACGTCAACCGACTGACAACCTATACCGCTTCGATCGCGTTTCGCGCCGTGGCTGGCCTTCGGCGCCTTGGCGATGCTGCCGTGTTGCTATAGAAAAAGACTCTAAACGCGTGGACATTGGCTGGTTTCAAAGAGGCTGCGAGCCGAGGTATGCAAACAAAGAGCGAGCGCCCGAAAGAGAAAGCAGCGACGGCGGCGGCGGCCGGGGAGGGTGGAGGGTAAATAAAATTTCGGGGAGTGTTCTGCCACCGGAGCCCCCCCCCCCCCCCCCCCCCCCCCCTCCCCCTCTCCCCCTGGTTACGCACCTGATAGGGACAGTTGGGAATGGTCGTTGGAACGACCAGTCGGTTGTGGCTGTGGTCGGCTTGTCAAGCTTGAGCAGCGGCCATTTTGGACAGCCGACCGTCTCGGGCGCGTTAAGTCCGTGCTCCGATTAAAAAGCCGAAATATCCGTTAACGTTGGGGAAAAGGTTTGTTCATCCATCTCGTCTGAAAACGTATTTATCTATCCAACGGTAACGTACCGATAGCAAGCGACAGAAAGGTTGTCAAGATGAGAAGACAGTCGGACGCTGCCCTTTTTAGAATGCTTGCCCCAGTGAAGACATATACATCGATTGGAAAGCCGAAATATCAGTTAGTGTTGAGGAAAAGGTTTGTTCATGCATCCCGCCTGAAAACAAATTGACGTGATATCAGAGGATGGTGTGCCGGTATCGGCGCAGCTCATCGACGGGTTTCGTCTCGCGCTGGAAGACGAAGCCACGGAACATCTGACAAAGTTTTACAGCGTCCTGCGTCGACAAGCGAGCTCAAGAATGTTGTCCTTCAGTTAAATCTGAACAGCATACATCGATCACTCAAGGTAACTTTCCGCAAATGTGCTCAAAAAAAGTCTTCAAACTGTACGAATATTAAAACATTTTTAAAAACTTCCTAACGTCGCAGTCATTTTTTTTTATTTACACTCTGGTGCTTCACAGAGGCCTTAATCAAATTATCTTCGATGATAATTTCGGCTTCTGCTACCCGTATCCACGAGATACCGGGTTAGTCATAGCCGTGCGGTCGGAAGTGGCTACGCGGCTTGTCGATAGTTTCGGTGTGTCGAGCTCGTGTACGCAGTGTTCCATTTTGTTGCTGCGCTCGTAGTAGGAGTAAAGCAGCGCAGCCTTAGCGCGCCCAATACGAGCGCGAAACGCGCCCCGCCACTCGACTCGGTTGTCTGCGTCGCCACCCGCCGTTAACACGGTCAAGTTTTTTGGCCCTAGACTCGATCGGGTGTATCTCCCTCCCGGTCTCCTGCCGCGCCTCATTCGTTGAGCTGTTCTCTCTGTTCCCAGCGCTACCGGCTGCGTTTCCGATCACCACCCGCTGTGTGTCGATTTTGGACCTCTCGAGCTTTCTACATCCTCGCGGCGACACGTGGCGTTTGGACACCACGCTGTTACGAGACGAGCAGGCCCTTTCCAGCCTGCACCGGTCAATTCGCATGTCGGTGTCGGTTGCTCCGGTGCCTCCCGCCCGCTGGGAGGTCAGCAAGTACGACTCCCGGTTTCAAGCGACGACAGCGGGGAAGCTGCTTCGACGCCGCGTTACTGAGGCCCTCAATGAAACGATTCGCCGCATCCGTATCGTGTAGCGTGGCGGCACGCGCACACACTTGATGTCGGAGTACTTGGCGCTTCTTCGCGACCGCTACCAGCGCCTGCTTTACTCGACGTTTCGACCCGCCGTCGCGCAGCAACTGCAAGGTCAGCCCGTGGATGACCCCGAAGTTCTTCAGTGCCTGCGCGCCTCTCGTACAGGGAGAGATGAGTCCCCGTGCGTCCCGAATATCCGCCTCGCAAGTGGCGGCCTCTTGGCCGACCCCCGCGACATTAGCGCGGTGTTCTACGAGTTCTTCTTGTCCCTTTTTCGTACGGACCCAGCGGTGTCCGCTTTGAACTTTGCCGAGCGAGCTCGCCTATTTTGTGGTGAACTACCGTCTTACCAAGACTTTAAGTGTCCTTCTCTTGTACGCCACACCAATCGTGATGAACTTTTTGGCCTTCGTGCGATGAATGTCGGGTCTGCCCCCGGGCACGACGGTTTCCCTGCAGAATTTTACGTGGCCTTTTAGGACGTCTTCACGGATCCACTAGTCCACCTAGTGAACCATATCCTGGAGACATGGGCAGGTCCCTCTTTGCTTCCGACACGATCGGGTCGTCCTTCTTCCCAAGGATGGTTCCCCGTGGGACCCCGCGGCTTGGCAGCCTATCACACTCCTTAACATGGACTACAATCCTGTGGCGTCTGTGTTTGTTTCGCGTCTCGGACCGCTCTTGCCCTGCATGATGAGCAGGGCTCAGACGAATCCTGCTCCCGGGAGAAACATCTTCTCCTCCCTCTCTCTTACCCGCGACCTGTTTACGTACGCGCATTTCACCAACTTGTCAGGAGCCTTCGTCTCACTAGACCACGAGAAGGTTTTCGACCGTGTCGAACTCCAGCTCTTGTTTGAGGTCTTGGGCGCCTTCGGCTCTTTGAGAGGTTCGTCGCCCTCTTGCGGTCAGTGTACAGCGTCTTGACCAGCCGACTTCTCGTATGGATGACCCCTTGCTCCATTTCCCGTTACTCAGGAAGTTCAGCAGGGCTGCCCTTTACCCCCCTTGCACTATGTTTCGATCCTCTCTTAAGACGTTTGGCGTTCTGCTAGGACATACGAGGCTTCCCGTTGCCCGGTCTAGACTGCGTTACCGTCAGAGCGTACGCTGACGACGTCGGTTTGTTCATTCGGGACTCGGAGAGCCTTGAGGCTGCCATGCGACTCTTTTCCGAATATGGCGTCCTATCGGGCGCACAGTTAAACCGCTCCAAGTGCAACGCACGTCTGTTCCGTGGCGCCTTCCCTCCAAACCTGACGGCGGATATCCAGGTCGTCACCGTGCTCCGCATCCGTGGCGTTTTCCTCTTCGACTGTCGTGGCTTGGCGTCCCGCACCTAAGAGATTGCACCCACCAACCTCGAACGGCACGTCTCATGCTGCCGAAGCGTTCACATTGTCTCTTCGAGACCGTGCTTACCTTGTTAAGGCCGCTTTCTGCGGTCCTCTCTTTTTCGCCGCTCACGTCGCCATCCCTCCCCTCCGGTTCATTCACCGCGTCACTTCTTGCTTCTTCCGCTTTTACAATTGGAACGGGGGCTCCCAGCATGTCAGCCGGGTGGTGCTTCGTCTCCCCACGTCCCTTGGTGGCAGAGGCATGCCGTGTGTCGGCACCATGACCCGTTTGTTGGCCCTTCGTACAGTTTTAGGAGTACTGGACTGCGCGTTCCCTCGCCCTCTATTTCCTGGGAACTTCGCGTCGTGAGCCCGTTCCTCGCGCTTTGGGTAACCTCTACCCTAGCGCCGAGTTCACTCCTCCGTTCTACCACGAGGTGGTGAGCCTCCATAACGAACTGCTGCCCGCGTTCCCGAACCTTGTCTTACGGGACGTAGCCCCTACTCGTGTTGTTGAAGAACTTTGCGTTCAGCGTGTCACTCCCGAGGAGCACCGAAGGGCGACCGCCTTCCCGTGACCTTCATTGGTGTCCCGCCGTCTGCCTCCTGTGGACGATTTTGAGTGGCGTCGGGTGTGGGAAATCCTGCCCACGAAGCAACGTCTCCACCGCTGGGGCTTAGTCCCAAACCCCTGCTGCCCAACTGCGGACAAGTAGAGACTGTTTCGCATATCTTCCAAGAACGTCCGGTAGCGCAAACTTTCTGGCGCCTCGTTCACCACGGGTTTCGCCCCTTCGGAGTCCGCCTTCGCTCTCGGTGGCCAGTGCTTACGGGGTGGCCTGGCTTTGCTTCTCCTGGCCTTCGGACACTACGTTCTCTGGCGGAATCGCTGTACCGCGGTGAGCCAACAGCAGCGCACCCGTGCCATGCGGCCTCTCGTGTCCCAGCTCAGTGGAGGCTTGCTCCACCACCTTGGCTCTGAACTTTTTTGTTTAGGCGAGCGCGAGTTCCTGCCCAGGTGGTCCTGCTGCTACGTTACGTTAGTCCACGGCCGCATTTCCTTATCGTTTGCTCCCCTCGCCAGGTGTGAGTGGAGTTTAATTTTGACCGTTTTATTAGGGAGTTGTAGTAGATCGTTCTTTTCCTCCGCTACGGTATCCCCGAAGAAAACACCGCAGCCACGCATGCTCACCGCCAGCCTTGTCTGCGTAGTTCAAGGTCTTGTGCCGGATTACGGAGTGCTATCCGGGTGCTTAGCGGGCTGCGGAAACGGTCTAGTACAATTACCTATTTTCCCCTTTCCCCGGTGGAATACCGGTGGTTTTGTTGCACTTTCCTGGCGTCGCGTCGCGTTTTTCTGAGACAGTCTAGTTTGCCCGTCTTTGTGCCTGTTTTCGTCCCGTCATTGTACCCTTCGTGACCTTGTG